CCATTGTTTGTCCAGAGACCGACAAACATCATAAATGGATATCGCAATTGGATATCGAATCAGTAAGTTCAGACGTCAAACCGTGTGTTTTAATGAGAAACTGGAGTTTTCTTAAAATGGTCACATACACTATTCACTTTTTGAAAATATATTAAAGTTCAAAAATATAAATATGAACAAATTGCTGTGAGGTCTTCAAAGGCCATTCTAGTTCGTTCTTCTGAAAGGCTTGCCAAGGTCAACCTTGATTCTTTTTGCTATGCTTTGTTACTCCGGGCACTCGACAATAATTTTGAAATTGTATGTGATGTTTGCTGTCACTTTATTACTTATGTGAATGCCACAGTTTGATTTTAAGAGAATAGGTCAGTTCACATTTCTGTGGGCTTGTCTATTTTCAGTGGGAATAAAAGAGGAATTGTGTTGTATTTCACATGATATCTCCTCACCAGAGGGTACTGAATTCTTGCTAGTCAATTCAAGAGCACCTTTATTATATCATTAATGAAATGCTTAGGCCAGACTTTAAAAAATAATCTGTATTTTCTTAGAATAGTCTTTCTTAGCATTTACCTTTCAATATCTTAGTCTAAGGTTTGGTTATATGGATTATGGCTACTAGAATTAACAATGCTTTGTCATGTCATTCCTGTCTACAAATAGTGTTTTTATTTTTCCCTTGCTTCAGAGGTATAAAACAAATCAAATTGGTGGTCAGCCTTAACTCTACATGAAGTCCTCACTTTTCTAAGAAACACACAAAAGCAGCCACAATTGTGTTGGTGTGAGTCTGTTTTTTTCTTTGTCCAGAACTCCTTGATACTGATTGTAGCATTTTGATTCCAGGCATGGCCTTTCTCTCCAGTACGATACTGCGATGCTCCCAAGCAACGACCTAGTTAGCAATACTCGAGTCAAGGTGAAAAGATATAATAAAAGTGGGGGGCTCTGGAACAAAGCATGAAGATCATCGTTGTCTTTCTGTTTGGAGTTATCCCCAAAAGACCATTTGGGATGTTCAATATAGTAAACATAGTTATGACAACCATTGTCTTTAAAAAAAAAAAAATCACCTTTTACTTATTTCTTCTCATTTGTTTGGGGAAGTTACAAAGAAGGAATGAGAGAGATTGGATCAAAATGTCACAATGGAATCATTATTCATTATCCTCCATCTCTTAGAATGTCAACCTCAGGATGAAGCCCAACTTGCCACTTAATGGGGGACATAAGCAACGATCATTTCTTTTCCTGGTATTTGTGATAGCTCTGGGGACATTTTATCAGAATTTTCCCTTTCTTTAGCAAATTTATGCTTTTAAACTTTTAGTTGTTGTATTTTGTTTGATTTATTGATTACTGACATATTTCTGATTTTTCATGTAAAGGGTTAATCTATGGAATTTTAAGGCTTTTCTTCATAGTTGTTGGAAGATATTATAAGAATTGATATAGTAAGTTGGTTCTCTTTGTAAAATATATAAACATTTTGTCAATGCTAGATTACCTTCTGGAATTTAATTTTTTATATTTTTTTGGGTGATCGATCTCCCTGTGTTTAAAGGAGGAGAAACATATAGTTATCAATAGTTATCAAACATATAGTTAACATAGGTTCTCTGCCTAGAAATAGTTTGTGGTAAGTAGACATGCTTCTTGATTTAAGCAGTCTAAGGATGGTATTAGGCTAGTTTCCACATGTAGAGTATAATAAATAATCAAATTCATTAATAAATTTGAATTAGGTTCCTATATTAGCATGTTATGATAAGTAAAACATTTTAGACCAAGAAAAATACCTATGATTTTCTGAGTGTTATCATCCTTTGAAAGTATGGATTGAAGATGGCACTCTACTAAATAACATACTTAAGACATATTTGTGAAAAAAGTGATACACAGCCAGAATGTAATCCAGGAGAATATAAGCCCCTTAATGGTGAAGAACTGGTTCTGTTCTCTTCTGTTTTTCCAGTGACTGATAGCCATATAGTAACTATTTGTTGAATGTAAATAAAAGATAGTTCAATGAACAGACTAAGGAATTAAAATTTTAAGCTTATGCTTGCTGATAATGTAGTTTCACTTAACACTTTTCATTTAAATAAAATGAAATTTAAGAACTTAAATCCGTATCAAAAGACTGATGTATGTACCATAAACACATTTCTTTTTCTTTTTTCTGTACACAGTGATCTACACGTGATTGGCAGCATATTATTGCTTGGCTTTGCTGACAATAACATTTCTTGCCACATTATTTTCATGCACTTTTGTATTCCACTGGATGTACTTATTTTCAGAAAATTTGAATTTTATTTTGTAGTACAAATTAGAAAAAGTTTAATTTTTTTTTAAAGTTATTTTTGTGAAAAAATGTTTTCTTCCATATAAGATGAGGGGATCACTGGGCATTCATGGCGGTATAAACTTCAGAGGTTTGTTTTAGGTAAAGTTTGGCATTTCTTCCATTCACTATCACTGAATTGTATGTTATATGCCTTGATTGCTTTGACCAGTCCTTAGTTGATTTTATGTGATACTTAGAGGGTAACATAAGAAGTATGAAATGCCATGCTTGTGATAGAAGAAAAATTGTTTTCTCTCTTACAGGCAGTTTAGATTAAAATTTAATCAAGTAAATATTATCACGTTTTGCTTTAAGTATCTATATTTATTTGGCTGTAACAAAAATACTTCATTTTAGTGCTCACTATTATGTGCCTATTCAGTGTGCTTATTTGCTACAACTTTTCTAAGAAAATGTAGCTTCAAATGGATTCTTAGCTTTATGATATGGTTGTGATAGTTCTTTATGCAGATAGGTTTATGAGAAACATACAAGCTACCTGAGAAAGCTCTTGCTGACCTATACAATACCGGCATCCTAATAGGTCCTATTTCAGCTCCTATATTTTGACAAATAGCCAGGCTCTAAAAAGCTCTGTCCGTGGTGCTGAAACATCTCATGATGAATGAGCATGTCTTGCTGATAAATTCTAATGTCAGCCAATGTGCGATAGCGATACATCAGCTTGTAAAATTTGTGTTTGGAAAACACATCGAATTAGCGAGGCTCATATTGTGGTTGTGTTAAATTAACACAGTTTGTCCTTTCGTTTTAAAGAGTTCATAACAGTTGCCTTCCACATTGTGAAAAACCGCTAGGGTTTAATTAGAAACTGTCAATGCAAATGTCTAATATTAACAAATAAATTGACATGACTGTAGTACTGGAAATATTTTCAGGACAGTGACATGCTGATGCTGTGCAGGAAGCTACTGTAAGAGAAATCGGAGACTTGATTATGAACACGTGCAGCAGCAATTAACATGGAAACCTTGTAGCTTAGTAGAAATGAGCGATTTGCCTATCAAAAAATAGTTTATCATCTCAGTTTGTTTTTTTTTTATGTTTCAGGACATTTTTTTGTACACAAATACATTTATTTTACAGGACTATGGTTCTTTGTTTGTAAATATGACTAAAACCCTAAAAGGTCTTACCTGGTTTTTTTCCCAAGTAAAATCCATACATTTACTACATAAGACTCTTAAATAATTAGTAATGTTATTAGCACTTCAATTCAATGATTCTCAATTTTTTAAGTTGTGTTTTTCAGGTGCCTTAAATATAGTCATAGAGAACTGTACTTAATTTTATTTTTACCTCTAAATTTGTTTGAGAAGGTTGTCCTTTTATTGAAAAAAAAAACTGTCCTCTTCAATTTCTATTGAACTTTGGGATTATATGACTCATGCCATTTTATATTGGGGTGAACTAAATAAAAGGGAGACTTTCATAAAATTGAACCTATAAACTTCTACTAATGCAATAGATTTGAAAGGAAAATTCTATAATTTTAGTCTTGGAAAGTCCTAGTCTTCTACAATTCTAAGTTTTATTTTATTCTGGAGAAAAAGACCATCTATTTTGATCATAATGGACTTCAAGCCAGCACCTATAAGGTTAGTTGCTATACAAGTACGTAAATGTCCTTCTTTTGGGATTATGTAGAACTTGTTTCATTGCTAACTTTGCAACACAACAAATTATTAGATTCTTTGCTTGTTATTGTGGTAAAGCACATTAAGTATTTGGACTCACAGAAAGATTTGAAGGTTACACCTACATTATAAGTCCTTCTGAAATTTGGCAACATTTTCTGCAAAGCAAGCACTTTAAAGTTGAGTTACTACTAATTATTAAAATAAGACCTTCAGTTCCTCAGATATTGATTTACATTATGTGAACTTAATAATTAAACCTACTATAAAAGATTCTTGTTAAGCAAAGGAAATCTTTAAGTGAATACATAATTTCCTAGGGGATTTCTTTTCATCACTAGTTAAAGGATTAAGTACAATGTTATGATTGCCTTTCAATATTAATAAAGTGCCGTCTCACATCCATTTTTGTGCACTATAAAAAAGTAGTTCCAGAGCCTAGTAAAAGTGTCTTACTCTGAGCATTTCAAATTCCATTATAGAAAAAGACTTTTCTAAACTGTGGCCATTTAAATGATATCTGGTCCGATGAATTATTCCCAGAAATTACTCTTTATTTAGAAACAAAAACAAGACAAAAGCAATTGATTTTAATCCAAAATGTATTTTCCTTATAAAAGAGGTCCACATACTCACTGTGTCTACTCTACAGAATTTGTCCGTTTTATTACACCACGTGTCAATTCAAGTGTATCTGGTCACGGCAAAAACTCGTGGCTAATATGTGTGATACAACACAGTAGGAGGTATTGCTCAGTTCAACTACTCTTATATACTTAAAAAAAAGTACAGAAATGTTTTTTTTTCCACTGTCACTGTAGTCCAGACATAAAAGTTACATGAATGTTCTAGAAAATGGAATTGTTTTATTTGGTTGCCACGGTACCCTTTGAAGCCAGTGAATTAAAATGCTGAACTTGTACATATTTCCATTGGTCACGAGCAGCATTGATGAAGCTTAAACTTCCTTCTAGAAAGTAATGTTTCTCTGCTTCCCCCCACCCCAAGCACAAATACAGTCTTGAGCTTCTCTTTGAAGTAGGTCTGGTTGGTTGCTTTCTGTTTTGTTTTTAGGATATATTTGTTGGCACACCTATAACGGTTGCTTTCATTTCCAACGCTGTGCTGTTTTCTTTGCCTGCTTCCCAGAGATTGATCAGAGGAGGGTAAAGCTCACCAAACGTGAAGGCCGGTTTCTGTACGTAATTGCTCACATAGCCATGTCCAACATCACCATTCATTTTATGAGAGAGGCAACTGAAAAGACATAGCACAGCGATAATCCCCAGAAAGCCTCCAAGGCAGGCCATAAATGTGCTGGTGTTACCCTTGCCATACTCTTTCTGACTGGGGTCCAACCCTTTCGTGGTGACATCGACACACTGTTTTCTGTGTTTCTGATAGATGGTGGGGATATCGATACAGATGTGGTACTCAGTTGATGGGTTCAGATGAGTAAGATTATATACCTTGACGTCAGAGGGTATCCGAGCACTTTGGGCGGCGTGCGAGGTTTCTGTCTTGACAAAAGCTGTCCACTTGACACTGGATTTGAGAATCTTAGAACTTGCTTTCCAAGACACCAGAACGGAATTGGCCTGAACATCTTTCACTTTAATATTCAAGGATCCGTTGTTATCCTGGGGGAAAGAACCATCCACTTTGATCATAACAGACTTTAAGTCAGCACCCACCAGGTTAGTTGCTATGCAAGTATATAACCCCCCGTCTGTTGGGGTTATGCCACTTATATCTAGTGTGCCTTCAGAATGGACATAGAACCTGTCGGTCAGACTGTTAGGCAAGAGTTTTTGCCCCGAAGGGGTCACCCAGTAGATTTCCGGCGGTGGCTCTGCAGTGGCGCGGCAGTGTAGGGAGACATGCCTCCCAGCTTCCAAATCCAGGTCAGAAGGGAAGCTCTCTGGCGCTATGAGAGGGAGACAGATTTCCATCATTTCCCGGAAATGCACCTGCCGGACGTTTTGGCCTTGGAATTCGGGGGGGTCCACACAGAACAGTGACTCTGGCTCCATGAAGCGAATGTTGGTTTTGTTCATGTTAATCCAGCGGATGACGCAGTCGCACCTGATGGGATTGCTGTGTATGCTGATCTCCTTGAGGTTTGGCAGGGACGCGATGGTGCCGTGGTACAGGGCACTGAGGGCGTTGCTGTTGAGCATGAGTGATTCGAGCTTGGGTAGCCTGAAGAATGCATTGGGGTGAATGTAGGACAGCCTGGGGTTGTTGGTCGCTTCTATTTTTCTTAAGTCTGGCAAGTTATTCACGGCAAGACTGTCGATGGAAATCAGCTCCGGCATGTTGTTTATCCCCAGCTCCTTCAAGTGTAGCATATTGCTGAAGTCACCCCTCCGTATCCTGTGGATGGGATTTTTATTGAGATCCAAAAACTTGAGGTTTGCAACTTTTTGGAGCGCAGCATGGGGCACTTTTGGAAGCCGGTTGTCATAAAAAGAGATGCTTTCTAAGTTGTCAAGTCCAACCAAGGCATTATCCGGTATTTCCGTGAGGTTTATACCAGCTATAACCAGGCTGCGAAGATTGATCAGTGGCTTAAAGTTCATGTCTTTGATTCTGATGATTGGATTCTCCCCAATCATCAAGATCTCCAGGTTGGGAAGGGCGTCAAACCACTGACTGTCGATCATCTGCAATCTATTTGAATTGAGATGAAGTCGAAGGAGATTACGGAGGCCTACAAAGGCTCCCGGCGAAATCACAGACAGCGAGTTATGGTTAATATAGAGTTCTTGTAAGTTGCTTAGTCCGGACAGACATTTTTCCGGCAGCTCGGTGAGTTTGTTCTCCTCTAGGTACACAGAAAGAAGCTGAGGCATCTTTTTTCCATTAATAGTGTTGACCGAAGATAAATTGTTTTGCGATAGGTCCAGGCCAGTCAGGTTCACCGGAAAGTCTATGAAGTGTTCAATTTTCGCAATGTTGTTCGTCTGCAGGAGCAGGATCTGCGTGTCGGCAGGCAACCTGGCGGGGAAATGTAAAAGGCCCAGGTCGTTACAGTCCACGGTGGACGCGTCCATGTAAACAGATCGGGGTGTGAACCACGGCCTGATTTCACACGTACATGACTGTGGGCAATCCGCCTTCTTGTCTACAGCGTGCACCAGCGTCGTGATAGCAAGGCCCAGTAGCACGTGCACTCGGAGTGGCATGTCCCTCATCATAGCGTCCCTCTTCAGACAGGTGACGGGCCCACGAGGATTCCACGGTCCCTGCGCGCACGTTCGGTGGGAGCCGATCGATAAGGAAAACAGTCGTCCTGATCGAGGGATGAATGCCGCAGACGTGCAGGGCTTGTCCTCATGGATCTAAGTGCTGGTGCCGCAGATGCCCCGTCCAGAAACGTCATACATGTTGGGGGGAAAGTCGCGATGGCCTCCTGGATAAGACACTGATACCGGTTTTGAAGACGGAGTGTGAGTAGGTGGCCACAGGAAATCGAGCAATTCATTGATTTCTGAGGATCCCTGCCCGCTCAGTCCTAGCAGGGTGATGCCAACTAGAATAAAGTGAAATACAAAAGCAAGAAGAAACAGAATTAGTCCAAAGGGAAAAAGGATACCATAATTAACATCCATTAACTAAATACGGTGATCTCATGTGTGACAGTCATGAGTTGACAGGGAATTCAATATGTTTTGGTGACTTAGTTATTGGCCCAGACATCGGGCAGGCGACAAACACAATCTTGGCTGAAAGTGCATTAAACATAACGAACATGCCTCCATCATACTTGTGTTATTTTCCGATTTTACTTGTGTATACCTTGTCATTTTGCTCATTATATTTGTCATTCCCTTGGACAATTAGTTAATGAGGGGGAAAGAAGTTTCCGTGGTAAAGGGTGTTTTTCCACTCTTGGACAGAATGGACAGGTTGTAAGGAAGACCCTGTTTAGGTCCCAGCAAGTGCATCAGCCCGCGGTCCCGCAGGTTCCCGGGAGACGGCTGTGCGGTGAGCAGGAGTCCTGGCTGGACCCCTGTTTTCATTCACGCTTCTGTCCACAGCACCCCCTTTAGGAAGGGACTGGAGCTTCGCAGTGTTCGGAAGAGGTGAAGTCTACCTGGACGTAGACGTGCCTGTAGATTGTCATTCTGCAGCGAAATTCAGATTCATGTTGGACTATTTTATTTTTCCCTGAAAATAACTTAGATTCCACTAATCACGAACAGGCAACAAAGTAACTTTATTATAGCAGGAAAACAGGCACTTAGATATTCCTTCTTTTAAATGGATACCGAGGTCTTTGTCACATAAAAACCAGCAATGCGAAACCCCGTTGCAGTTTTGATGCTTCCTTTCCAGGGACACCCCGTCAGGGGGCGCCCAGCTCGGCCTGCGGGGCCGGCCGGCTGGGCGGCTGGACCATTCGCTCCGGAGCGCTAGCTCCCAGCACTCGGGCTGCCGAGTGATCGGGCTGTGAACACTGTCCTTTCCGTCCTCTCTGCCCAACAGTCGCATTCCTGATGCTTTGCGGACTGACTCTAAGTCCGTGACAGAGATAAATATATTTGGAGATGTGGTCTCTGTGGAGAGACTTCTCTTTTTTAGTAAGAAAAAAAGCTCGAGTTTTTCAAAGTTATAAAACATTTACAATCCAAAGTCACACCTAATTTTCCCCTTATCCTTCATTTTAAGAGATGTGATTTCACCCTGAAGTCCGGATTAGTACTAAGTTATCTTGAGTTAAAAGTGTCTTTGCTTTGCCTTTTCTTGCGTCTGTTGGCTTAGCTGCATTTTCTTAATGGAACTTTTCAACTATTACTCCTAATCCGTTACTGTTAATTTCACTTTTCAGTTGCAGTTGACATCTGACACTGTTTTGTATTAGTTCGGGGTGCACCGCATAGTGGTTAGACAGTTGTGCACTATCTTTCCAGCACCCACCTGATACCATACATAATTCTCACTCTATTCTTGACTGTATTCCTTATGCTGTACTTCATATCCTTGTGACTATTCTGTAACTACCAATTAGGACTTCTTAATAATTTTTTAAAATCCTCACCCAAAGATAGGATTTTTGTTGATTCCAGAGAGAGAGGAAAAGAGAGGTGGGAGGGAGAGACACCTGTTGATTGCCTCCTGCACACCCTCACTGGGGATTGAACCTGCAACCTGGGTTCGGACCCTGACCAAGAGTCAAACTCAAGACCCTTTGTTGTTTGAGATGACGCTCTAACCAGCTGAGCTACGCTGGGCTGAGCTCGTAATAACTTTTTTTTTTTTTTAGATCTTCATCCTGGGATATTTTTCCATTTATCTTCAGATAGAATGGCGGAGGGGGGGGGCATCAATGTGAGAGGGACACATCTATTGCTTGCCTCCCACACGACCCTGGCCAGGATCATGGACCGAACTGCAACCGAGGTACGTGCCCTTGACCGGAATCAAACCCCCAACTCTTTGGTCCTCTTTGCTCTAACCACTGAGCAACTGTCCAGGGCTCCTAATAACTGTTTAAAGTAGATATAGAGTCCTTGAGGAGAGACTCTAACACAGCCCCTTCCTCACTGCAGGTGCCTGAGAAACCCTCAGCCCACAGGGCCCCCCACCATCCGGGCTCCCTCTTTCCCTCTCTCCCCTCCACGCCTCCTTCCCCTGCCCGTAGCCTCTCTCTGGAGGTGGATCTGGGAGCACCTCGCCCTCTTCTCTTCCTTGAGCACCTGTATCTTTACTGGACGCTCACCTGAGTTCAGGTGTCACCTCTCCGGGAAGCCCTGGCCTGTCCTCCCCCCCGAGTCATGGTTTGTTACCCTCCACGGTGGTCTCCTGGCCCCTGCCTCACCTCCGCCACAGTGTTACGTGTTTTCTCCCTCGTGGGACACTCACCTCCCGCGGAGCTTCCCAGCCCCTCGGCGTGGTAATGGCACACACATGCTCAGGAAGTGTCTCGCGCGGACCCATAAGTGAACTACGCTAATGAATGAGTGTATATATTCATCTCTCTCACTTAATTTTGGCAAGTCAATCTGCGTTCATTTCCTGATTTCGAAATTTAGCTGCGTTTACTTGATCAATCTACGACTTGCCTAGGATGGGGTTACCTGGATTACTAAAACCCAAAGGTGAAATTTGAGTGTCATATGAAGGGACGCTAGGCCTCAAAGAAAAGTCAATCTAGTATGATAGCTGTGGTTTATTCCTTACTTCATTCCGTCAACACTTACTGAGCACCTTCTGGGTCCCAGTCATTGGGTTAATGGTTGGGAGACAGAAGGCTGACTTAGACATGCTCTCTCCCCTGCAGGCGTGCTCAGTCTGGGGAGGGGGACTCACAGGTCATAGCATGGTGACAATTGTGTCAGAGCTGATGTGGGAGAACAGAGGAGGGGCATCTTAAGCCTCTGTATCCCCAACATGGACAAAAAGCCCAGATACAAAGAACAAAACCCATCTCTGCATGTTCCCCTGAAGGACACAGGTGAGCACCGAGAAATCCTGACTTCCGCCAATGAGTGGGTCCGATCCTCTGTCCAGCATCCTCTGCCGTGTCAACTAGAGCCCTGGAGATGTGAACAACGAAACGTGTGTGTGTTGGGGGGGGGTGTTAGCAATGCCATTTTCATTTTGAAATTATTCTTGTGGGTGTTTTCTGAAGTGTATATCCACATCTAATTAGAAACTCTTTCCCGACGGCAGTTCATCATTTACGTAGCCAGATGCCAGAAACAAGCACGTTTGAATGAGATTTATCCTGGAATCTTTGGGAAGTGAGTGTTTATAGCGGCGAGCAAATTCAGATTTCGTTTCCCCAGATCAGGAGGAAGCGATGGTCAGCACACAAGGGAAGCACACGAAAGGGTCCGGACACCACGCCTTTCTCCACTGTGATATTGATTCTTTTCTCTTGTGTTTGGCGCTGATCACGAGCTTTCACTAATGGACCGTTTGGCATGGACAGTTTGCAGGAGTAAGGCAGTGCTGATATCTTACATCTTAGTGCCTGATGGATTTCCAAGCCCTTTCTTATTCATTGTTTATTTTATATTAATCATGACCTTGTGAGAGGGAGTGGGGAGGTACTTGAATTCCCATTTTTTAAGCATGAGGTCACAGCGCTAATAAATAAGAGCTGGAATTAGAACCCAGGTTTTGTCTTCAGGACTCAACTCTGTCTAGCGAGTCACATTGCACATGTGGAGAAGCGATGAAATAATTTTAACACAGAAAAAGTAGTGTTGTGATTTCACTTCTCAGCAGGGCTGGGAATTCCTTGATTTTCCTGTTTTTCAAGTTCATAAAATTACTTTTATCATAATAGTGACTAACACGGGATTCATACTCACCAAACTCACAAGGGACCAAAACAACACGCCAGTACATTGCAGAGAGAAATATGACCATCAAGAGAATGCAAGTCCCTGCACCTGCTGGTCAGTGCTTTTGCTCCATTTAAAAAACATGTACTTGGAAATACAAATACAAATTATAAATTTGCTCTCTGCTCTTGAATACAGACTCGAAGGCAGGGATGTCAGACTGGAGTTCTCAGTCATCACAGTCATCAGAAATAAGAGCCTGAGTTCTGCTAAGTAAATACTATCTTGTCACAGGAACTGGACCTCGTGAGCCTCATGGCCCTTGGTGTGACCTCAGGCCCCAAGCCCCTGTGCTGGGAACCTGCTCCCGAGTTTATTCTTGGTCAGCCCTCTTCTGTGTCGCAATCAGGTGTTTAAGTTGCATTTCGCCCTTACTGGACATCAAATGATTAGATGTAAGATTATTAGATTATGACTTCAATAGACATGCAGTTATTAGGTTATTAGTCCCTTAGTAGTTGATGAGTTTTTTGTTGTTGTTGTTGGACTGTGTCCAACTCACTTTTGACTTGATTATATTAGTACATTTGCTTGGTTGACAAGTACGTCCAGGGTACAGGTCATTAAACAAAAGCGTATTGACCGGTAACTCGAGAACATGTCTTTCTATCTGTGCTGGATGCCGTAAATGGAACAGTGGTTAAGATGACGTTTTCTTTTTCTTCTTACGTAATCGACACAGAAGAAAAGAGAGAAAAAGGTATGCCTCCAGAGTTTTACTGAATGTTTTTCTTATGGCCTGATGGTTAAAAGGTAGAAACATCACAATGGTTCACTTTGCGGCCACCGACCACGGAGGGGTGGTTTCTGCAGTTGGTCGTTTAGGGGTCTGGATAGAATAACAATGATAATGGTGGCATCTATTTCAGAAGGACACATTTAGTTTTGTGTTTTATGTACCCCAGTATAAATCATTTAAATATAAAAATATTTATATCATTAAAAAAACATAATGACCAGCTTAATCCCATTTGTACTTGTGGAGAATTTT